GGTTGGACTGGGTGACCCACAGAGGTCCCTTCCAACCCCTACTATTCTGTGATTCTGTGATTCTGGCAAAGTTTTGAAAACCTCTTGGCTCAGGGTGCCAGATGAGCTGCTGATCAGTTCTAGAGAACCATTTCTTCCCGGTTTATCATCACGGAGCAGGGCCACGGAGTCTCCACTCCACTCCATCCTCTATGGTGTGTTGCAGGGAGTTGCTGTGTTAGTGGATTCCTTGCACGCCTGCTGCAGCTGTGTCCCATCCTCAGAGTTCCTTTTGATTTTATGCTTTTCCTCAGTGGGTGAACAATGCTACGTTTTTCATATAAACTTTAATTTTCAGATGTAAAACCTTAATTTTACTAATAATTCCACAGAACCCACAAAGAAACTGGATAGAGTTTTGGAACTTTGCTCTTACTGGGTGATTAATGAAACCCTGCCTAACTCTCCTGGCTCCTTTCTTTCCAAAGGGTCCTCAATTTTTGTCGATGCATTAACTTGGAAGACAAAGCTTTTAATGTGTAGCCACGGAGGACTTTCCATCGTGACTGCATTTCTTACCAGCTGTCTTCTGCTCTTTGCATTTGCAAGCTATGGGAGAGATTCACCTTGCTGATTAAATCACCGGAGTTCAGATGCCAAACTTTGGGTGCCTTTGGAAGCCTCTGAGCTCTGTTTGTAGTGAAAACAGACCCAGTTGGTACAGGCAGAGAAATCTGGAGAGCCAGTCGGCTCACCCAGAAGTAGGCACGCCTTCCCTGCTTTTCATAGAATCATAGAAAGCTTTGGGTTAGAAGGGACCTTTAGAGGTCATCTAGTCCAAGCCCCCTGCAGTGAGCAGGGACATCTTCAACTGGATCAGGTTGCTCAGATCCCCGTCCAACCCAGCCTTGGTTTTAGCCTGACTTTCAGGATCTCAGAGGGGTACCTCTAAGGCCTGGCAACCTAACACAGTATTTCTAGAGATGACATTATTGCCATCTTTTATGCCAGAGGTAGAAAAAACTTCGGAACCTGATGTGAGAAACCTTCACCTACCACAGTTTTGCATTTCCCCAGGGTGTTTCTTGTCCCCGCTTGTGTCCTGCCCTCACCACATCACAGATTCTGCCAGCCAGAAAGCTAATATTCAGGTGGTAATTTAGGAAGACACAAAATAAACTAATAAGCACCAACAGGTCTTTAGTGGCCAGGAGACAATTTTGCTCAGTTGAATTCTTCTCCAGGCTCCACTATATATTGTGTATATACTTAGACACTTGGCTAACACACAGGCACCTAAATTTTGATGTTTGTCATTTGAAGGTCCTGCCCCACGGACCCCTTCCCCTCTGTGCCCTGCTGCAGGGTGAATTGTGTGTGTTGAAGGTGTTCCAACATTACAGACTTGGGTACAAACCCTGGCAGTTGTGGTTGCTTTCATATCAAGTGTGACTGGTGAAGGAGATACGTTTGTCCTTGAGAGAGGAGAAAAACTTAGGCTCAGAGAAGATAAAGTGTAATAACTTCATTACTTACGTATTAGCTGTTTCCTGAATGTCAAAGCCGTTGGCCTTATTTGAAATCTAACTTCTTTCAGGATGATATATACATGTATGGTGGAAAAATAGATGCAACGGGGAACGTGAGCAGCCAGCTGTGGGTATTCCACATTCCCACCCAGACCTGGGCTCAGGCGACGCCGAAAGCCAAGGAGCAGTACGCCGTCGTTGGCCACTCGGCACACATCGTCACGCTGGAGGACAACAGCACGGTCATGCTCGTCATCTTTGGGCACTGCCCTCTTTATGGATATATCAGCAATGTCCAGGAATACAACCTGGGTGAGTGGGGCCCAACCTATCATTCGCTTCGATTTTAGCAGTTGGTTTGGAAATGAATGTTCAAGTGGTCCATATTCACATAGCAAAACAAAGACAGATACGTTGTTCTCCTGCTGTTTGTATTTACAAGAAGTTCAGTCTAACTTCCAGTGTTTGTGTAACACAAACGGTGAGCAGGCAGCCACGTGCTTCCAGCTTTACACGGCTTATTAGGTCCCAAAGACAAAAAAGCTGTAATTGGGGGGCAAAGCAGGATAACCGTGGGACAATTGAAATTAATTTTCCTCTCTCCCTCTGACAAAGCAAACGCTTTTGAAGTTGTTTTTGTATCCTGCAAATACAAGAATGGCTGTAACAATTCAGACCAAGTATCCACTTAACCCGATACCCCTGTCTCCAGTGGTGGTGAGTAGCGAATGCTTAGGGGAACAGGGAATGACTTTCTGGACTTGCATTTGCCCCATATCTCTGAGAACAGTCCAGCCTCTGACCTCGAGATCCAGAGATTTCCAGTATCATCAGTGGAGAGGCATAGGAAGCTCTCCAGTGGAACTGAACTGCTGCCTAACTTAAGCTGCTCTGAAATGTCTCTCTGGAGGCACGTCCCTTGCTCCGCTGAGCAGGTGGAGAACAGCGTTATGCACAGGATGTTCACAACGTGAGTAGCTCGTTCTTGTCAGGAATAGTGGCCCTATCTGCAATTTGGACCTGTTGTCCTTGTCCTTCGGTCATCCTGATCCGGAGGATCTGCTGGAGCGTACTCTGGTTCGCTGGTGTCCACAAGAGCGAGCTTTCTCCCTCTAGGAGAAAGACAGAGAATACCAGGATGTGTGGGGCAGTTTTCCTGCTGCTCTGTTTTTCCCCCGTGTGATCTCGCAGACTATTCAGTTCCTTTGCCTTTTGTGTGCCCGATCTGCCCTGGAGTTAGGAAGCCTGTGCGGGGTTTCATTCTGCGCTTGCTACAGAGAATCCGTGTGTAATTTGGCATTTTTGTTTCAGTTGCTGTTATATTACGTCTAGAGTGCTTCAAACCAATGTTATTTTAGTGAGTCAGATATAGGACCATTAATCACTCATTAGTTTTTAACTGCAGTGTTCTTCACAGTTGTACTTAACTTGGCTTCACTGCTGTCTGGCTTTATATATGTATATAAAATAAAAGTGCTCTTGGGTACCGTTCCAAATCAAGCCAGGGTGCTGGCGTTTTAATGTCATTGAAATGTGATGTATTATTTCTATGCTTTTTAACTCTCATTTACTTAGCTTGTCTGCAAAATGTAATAAATGACGGTAGAAGAGATGTTTCTGGTCTAATTAAGAATACTTGACAATACTCTTGACAATAAATTCCTTGAAGGAGAAGATTTTTGGCTATGAAGCGATAGAGACAGTGTCTAGATCTGAGGCAAGGGAAACACAATTTGATTCCCCACCACATTTGTTGATAAGTTATTGATGGACATAAATTAACTGTGTTCTGTCACTCACGTTTTTCATTTCTCAGACACGAATACATGGAACGTCTTACAGACGAGCGGAGCTTTGGTGCAAGGAGGGTATGGTCACAGTAGTGTTTACGATCCAAATACAAGATCAATTTATATCCATGGAGGTTACAAAGCATTCAGTGCCAACAAATACAGGCTGGCAGATGACTTGTACAGATATGAAGTGGATTCCCGGATGTGGTAAGTAGCTCTTCTTCCCGTCTACCACCCCGCCAGTCGTGTTTGTAGGGGACAAGAGAATGGGGCATTTGATAAGGGTACAGAAGTACGTAGTTACCTGCATTCAGCATAGGTAGTGTGCTCTTGTATCTGTTAGTTTTATGTCCCCTTATGAATCATATAATCACATACAATCAAGGCCGTGAATGAGCCAAGAAATCCATTTTAATCTGTTGTTGTATTAAAGCTGAAAAGAAAGATATTTGATGGGATTTTCCTTGCCAGCAGTACAGACTGTGCATAGGAGTGCGGTTGCTGCAGTCAGGTGAGTGATAATTCATTCTGCAGTTAAGACCGTGAAATAATTTTTATTATAACCCCATTTTCTTCTGGCTCTGTAACTGCTTGAAATGTTCATTTCTTAAGCCGAAATCTTCTGTGATTCGCTTCTGCCCAAAGGTGGGTTTTATTAAAAAGCTGTAGCAAAACTTCACAACTTTGAGCTACAGGGGCAAAATACTTTTTCCTCAATTCTGTATTTTTTCTGAAAGATGTTTTTAAAGGCTCCTTGCAAAAAGGAGACTGATCGTTTGGAATGACACATGTAAATTTGAGTCCCCAGATTGCCTTTTTGTGAGAGTTTAAAATAGCTGGTATTTTTGCAGCAACCGTTGGTGAGTCTGTACTGATGAGTAAAGTAACTGGTGCCCAATTTCCAAAAACCTTCCTTCCTGCTCCATGCACACGTGGCAATAACCGCACTTTGTTTCTTGGTTCATTTGATCCTCCGCTTCGGCTCTGGAGTGGGCAAATCCGGCTGGATAGGCAGAAAATGGCACAAATGTGACAAAATTCCTCCAAATTGCTGCAGCACCAGCTTGCTTTCATCGCGTTGACGCTGTCGGTCTCGAGGGGACTGTCGGGGGCAGGCGAGCAGTCGCCTTGCAGCGAGGCGCGTGGGAGCGTCTGCTCATCGTTATCCTTTTCTTGGTGCCATGGACTCCTTTTTTTTCTTTTAATCTTCAGTAATCTAGGCCCTCTCTCCCTCTTGTGATTTCATGGAAGGGCGAAAAAGCTGTCCCCTGATCATTAATTTGCTTTCTCCCCATGTTCCCTCCGGTGTTTCCACTGGCAGCGTCACAGTCTGATGCTGTAGCCCTGGCAGGGACCGAGTGGTGTTTGGAAAGCCCCTGCATGCTGCGATGCCTCTGCTGCTGGGTCTGGGTCAGAAACACCCCATTTGTTGAATATTTTTGTTGTGGAAGCCTGGGCTTCAGTGCAGGCTGCGTGCGGGACGCCGCTGTTCTGCGCAACTGGTGTGACAGCCGGCAAACCCGCGACACCGCTGCCTGCGATGCAGCCGTGGCCGTGTCGGGGTTCTCCTGCCATCCCACCCTCTCGGAATAGCAGGGGGACTCTACAGAGGGTGAACCTGCGTGTGCAGTGCCGTTAGTGAAGCTGATAAAGACGAGGTCAGGGGCGAGTTTGATGAATGCTTCCCAGGACGTAGTCGCGGGTGAGGCGTTGAGTTTTGCAGGTATTGAGCCAACGCGCTCTGTTGTCAGCAGCTGCATAGATTTCCTTAAAATAAGGATGGTAGTTTTCAGCAAGAGGTGGTGCTCAGTTTGAAATAATTCTTTAGGTTACTATAAAATCAGCGTTACTGTAAAATAAGAGGAGTCCTCCAGGCAGTGCCCGTATCGCCAGGTTTAGCTGACTGCTCAAAAGCCCCATTAGCGTGACAACGTGATAATCCCTAGGGAAGGAGTTGATGATTTGAAGATCCACAGCTTTGGAAAGAGACTTCCATAGATATATTTCTCCTGTAAATTGCAAGCAGATGGGAAGATGAGAGAATGAAATTACGGAAGGGGTTGAACGGTCTGGAAGAGAAGTTATTAAATGTCTCATTAGGAAAAGTAGTTAAATACTATCTTCCCCCCCTCCCCTTCCTCCTTGCACCCCCGAAACCTCCTTCAGCTTGGATTTATGGGTTGTTTTATCTTTGCCAAGTACTAATCAGTTTCATTAATATGTATGTTTTTATTTCCAAAGGACAATTCTGAAAGACAGTAGATTTTTTCGCTATTTGCACACGGCGGTGATAATGAGCGGAACCATGCTGGTGTTTGGAGGGAACACGCACAACGACACCTCCATGAGCCACGGCGCCAAGTGCTTTTCTTCGGATTTTATGGCGTATGATATCGGTAAGTTCTTGCAGAAACAGTAATAAAAAAATTCTCGGATATTCAAAAAGAGCTGTCTTCAAGAAGACTAATTTAGATGCTGGGGATATTACACCCAATGCTACTAAGCATACTGGAGAAGAATGTGTAATCAGGAGAGGCTCGTTTAGCTCGCTACACTTTACCAAGCAGATGAGCTGGAGCAGTGATTTCTGGGCAAATACAGCAGTGGTTATTTGGTTAACAGTTTATATCCAACCTTGGGCATTAAAAATGATTTCTGAAACAGAAAGCGTGTTGTTCAACCATCTCGGCCGTAAAGCCATCCTGATATTTGGAGTGTGTTTTAATCTATGAGTTATGAAAAATGCGGGCTGTTAGGACAGTTACAAGCGCTGGACCCTGCTGAAGCTCAACTCACGTGTTTAATGCTCTCGTTTTAACGGCAGGCTGGCTGATTTGTAATGTCAGTTTGGTTATATGTGCGCTTGATAAGCATAAATATCCCCTTAAGCACAATTTAATGATAAGTCAAACAGTTAGATTTGATTTGGAAGAATTGGGTTTCGAAGAGTTGGAATAACCAGGAGAGGGCAGCATTGATTTGTGAATCTGGAGGCCGGAGACGACGCATTTAAGAAGAAGAAAAGAAAAAGAGGTGAAATTATATAAAAGAAGGTGCGTGCACGTCCAGATAATTCACGCTGGAGAAAAACACCGTTCTGTACTCGCATCGCATTCTGCCTTCTGCTCTCAGAATTCCTTAAATGTGGGCTCTTGCGACTGATTCCCTGAAATAATCGTGTAAACCTGATTTCTCGGAGTGACCTTCCACGGAGATGTCACTCCTGGTTTGAGAAAGGAATCTGCGAGTGAGTGGTTTCGCTTTCGGCAGCGGCGTTTGGGATCCTTGTGCCATTTTGCTGTCTGTTACCGGGATCGTTCCCTTCTGCTGCCTGTGATTTCAGGTCCTATCCCTGTGGAATTTATTGTGCGCTCCTCACTAGCTTGATTTAGAGTTTTTTGAAGAAGTTTTTTTTTTTTTCCTTGAATTAAAAGGAGGTATTTCGACAGTCATGGGCAGAGTAATTTTTTAAAACTTTGCTGGCAATAGCGGTAGATTTTTCTTGCTCCATCTTGCTATCTTCCCTGACCCGTTGAACTGTCTATTGCGTGTAAAACACAAATAGCATTAATTTGGAAAAAATATGCCAATAATGGTGTTAATTATGATTCAGTTTAGTTGACAGAAAGGTTCCTGTTACGTGAAATAAGCGTTGTAGTCAGCTTGCCCAGTCCTCGCCAGTTTTACACTGAGAATTAGAGCTTGCATTGGTTGTGCTTTGCACGCCAGGGATGAGAAGCGTTCTGACTCTCTCGGGTACGTCCCCTCACTCCTTAAAGCAGAGACTCTCAGGCTGGAAAGAACAGCTTTGGGTTGTTTTTTCGGGGGAAAAAAAAAAAGACCATTTTTTGTTTTCGTGGCAGGGCACCTTGCTTTGCATGGTTTGCCTTATCCCGTTGGAGCAGGAGCACTACTGGGAAGACGTTCGGGTGCTGGCTGATGGTTAGCGTCACAGCAGAGGCACCTACTTGGGGATTTGTTGTGCATGGTCCCTGCAGTAATTATACTGATCACATTCATGTTGGTCTCCTTAATTATACTGATCACGTTCATGTTGGTCTCCAGGGGAAGGACTGTAAATATCAAAGGCCGTTGTGGCCATGCCAACATAGATGGACAAGGCTATCACAGCTTGAATATTAACATGCTTCGGTGTTTAGCCATCCTTTGATGCTCCCAAGGCTCAAGCTACCCAGGAGGTAACCAAGCAGCAGGGTCAATTGTAAGTAGCTGTCTTAGCATACTATAAAAGTAGGGAGTATCTGGCAAAGTTGCTCATTTTTAACATCTTGTTGATGAAGGTTATACCGTAGTGATCATAGCAGTGCTTGGAAGACTGGAGAAAACTGAGATTAAAATACAGTCTGAAAGAAAGGCTTCAGAAACAGGTCTTCTCTTTAACCTTTGCTATTAAAGCTTTTCTCTACAGTAACTCATTTTATTTACCTCATCAAATTTTTCTGGTTTTCTGTTCTCAAATTTCTAAGTAATCAGCCCACATGTGCAGAGTGTTGGGAGGACATATTATCTTCGTTTTTTGTGGGGGGGATGCAAACAAATGTCACTGAGATGTGTGCGGAGATTCTCTGGAGGTTTACCAGAGTAGGGAGACCTGAGAAAGTATTAATGCTTCTCATCCTTTTATCCTCTCCGTGACCCACTCGGGGCTTGTTGATCCAAATTGTCCAGGTAATGCCCAGTTGTGGAAGGTTCCAGGATAGCGATCCAGCCGCCTGTGTGCGCATGCATTGCTCCTGGCTTCTCAGGACAAGCTTTTGGACTGTGTTGGCGTTCAGGTTGGGTGAACACTTGGTTAGAGCAGCCTCAACAGTATTTCTCCTACGTTCTGCACACTGCAGTGACTACTTAGCACTTCCCATCACCAAAATTGGTCCCTCTGGCCTCCGTAGGAGAGTTTCCTGCTCTGGAGCAGTTTTGTCTCTGGGTGGACAAATGGCTCTCTGGAATCCTCTGCCTCCTCCTCTCAGCAGTTCATGGCAGCAGGAGCCACGAGCGAGTGGCAGCCCTTCCGTCGCTGCAGGTTCATCTCCAGGAGTGAAGAGGCGAGGGTTGTTCCTGCCGAAGGGTGACCTCCCTTGCACGTGGGACGCGACTGAGACGAGCAGAGGAGCTTCACAGGCAGATTGTCTCAAAATGCCTTTACTGGGGCTTCAGTAACTGTTCCTTTTCATTGCTGAAGAAGTTTTAACTTTATGGGGTTTTTTTTTTTAAAACTCAGTGTGAAATATTCATGTGAAGGCTATACTCAGATAATGCTTTCTCCTTACAGGAGAGAAATTAAAACTTTTCTGTTTACCCCATCAAAAATTCAGTTTTGATGACAAACATAGAAAGAGGCTGCATGTTTTCAAAGCGTAGGTGTTCTGCTTGAACAGTATCTTCAATAAATCCTGTGCATTCCCAGTTCTAGGCTTGGCTTAACTCATAAGTCAGGAAGGAGAGGATTCTTTGTAGTTTCACCATCATTCATTTTTTCCAATACTTGATCTGCAGCTACAGATGGGAGAGAAGCTTAGAAAGCAAAACATTCCAGGCCCTCTATTAATCTAGAAAAATATGTTTCTTGGCCTCACATAATTCACAACTTGCTGAATAAAAAATTGCAAATTGCTGTCCAATTTTGCTGAAGCCTCCTGTTAAAAACTGGAACCGTGCGTGCTTGTCTCAGGAGTGATGCTGGGCTAGGTTAAATTCTTTGAAAAATGAGGAAACGGTGTTTAAACATAAACTTCAAAATCACATTTTACCAAAGTATTAAATCGAACCAACTGGGTCCTATATCGTTTATTTATCAGCACTCTTGAACAAAAGTTTCTATGGGAGCAGAGCTTGCGACCAGTGGTTCTGCCTAACAATTCTCCCATTAAATTTGGTAAAGAATTAATAAGGTTGTTTCTCTTTTCCCTCTCAGTTTACTCACATATTAATTTGAGTTTGTGGACTTTTTTTCAGAAGCTCAGTCGGTTTTATCTTGTTTTGAAGAATCTGTGAGTATTTGAGGGCTCTGTAGATCTTCAGAGCAGATTGACTTTTCTGTCCTAATTGCATAAATTGCGTTCAACTGCCTTTGGGACGGCAGCCCCCAGGGTGATCCCATCCACTTTGCCAAGTTTTAGTGATATGAATTGGACTGATTTTTCCTGCTTTTGTTCCTTTGATTGCTCAGTCGCTTATGTGTTTCGTAGGTTGGGTTTTTTTTTCATGCTGCCTAAAGGAAGAAATTACCTGAGAAACCAAGTAAAAAATGAAGCGGAACTTAGAAATGTTATGCTAATAGAAAAAGATGGGATAATCTCACATTATATTAAAAAAGGAAAACAACCACGAATCCTTAAGCTATGATGAGTGAAAAATATTTTTAAAAACCTGGATATCTACCCTCTAGGAACATAATTGCAATGGAAGGAAAAAAAAAAAGATAAGTCTCTGTTCTCAGTGATACTGGTTTGGGGCAAAGCTGCAAATAATTCCCGTATAAACAGATAAAAACTAAACTTGTTACGCAGTGAAAAATTCCGCTAGTAAAGGAGAAAAAGCAACTCAAGCCACCACCACTTAATTACCTGTGATTGCCAAGAAGCTGACAACTCCTTCAACACAGTGCCCTGAAACCTGGCTTTTTCCTGAACCGGTTGGGTGATGGAGCGGAGTCGTTACGTCCTTCCTGCGCCTTTTTGTCATCCCGTGGCAGCTGGGGCGAAGGCTCAGTCTGAAATCTTGCAGAAGGAGAGAACGCAGCGCTTTCATGAACTGTCCAGTTTGACTCCAGATTTGCGTTTTGGTGGTGGGAGGAATGGTCTGTCTCTGGTTATTGAAATACTTCGGGATCTTTACGGAAGCAATGTGCCACGTAAGCTGAGTCATTAATTATACTGAGAATCTTTTCTGAAATGAGCTTTCCTTAATCCTAGCTTGCGATCGGTGGGCTGTCCTTCCCCGCCCGGGTCTCCACCACGATGTGAACAGGTTTGGACATTCTGCGGTGCTCTACAACAGGTAAGGCTGCAGACAAGCTGGGGGGTGTTGGCATTTTTCGTACCTCAACAAATATACAGATGTAGATCAGTAACACGAGACCAGAGGGTCGAGGATCTATTGCAAACACAGAATCACAGAATGTTTGGGGTTGGAAGGGACCTCTGTGGGTCATCTAGTCCAACCCTCCTGCCAAAGCAGGGTCACCTACAGCAGGCTGTAGAGGACCTTGTCCAGGCGGGGCTTGAATATCTTCAGAGAACGAGCGTCCACAGCCTCCCTGGGCAGCCTGGGCCAGGGCTCCGTCACCCTCAGAGGGCAGAAATTCTTCCTCATGTTCAGAAACCTCTTAAGGTTCTCAGGTCTTCGCTCTTGTAGCGTCTTCATTACATACCTGTCCCGAGCAGCCCTTCTTCACTGGACTAAACTGTCTCAGCTCACTTAGTTCTTTCAAAAATTTGATATTTTTATATTTATATTGCTTTTCCTTATATACATATTTCTATTTCTTACTCTTTTCACAATTGCGTGATTTGATTTATTTCATATTTCTATTTCTTATTTAGCTGCGCTGCCAACCTTTATCTCCAAATCGTACTTTCCCTCATGGCTTCTAAATTTGTCCATGTCTCAGTTTATGTAGCTCATCCTGTGTGGCTCTTCTTTACCATTCATGTGATGTACAGTATTTAGGTGAAAGCGTGGGTGAGTTTTCTGCTGTGAAGCATTATGTCGCTGTAATAATATCTGTGCTCTCAGGTGAACATCTGTTATTGTATCTGAGTCTGCGGAACCGAGTTTGAGAAGTGATATTTCTTAGGAGTCCTTTGATCTGGTTCCTTTCTCCTTTGAGGATGCTTTCTGTAAATCAGTAACATTATTTAAAGCTCAGTTTAATCCAGGCAGATAACTGTCACTGCCTTGAAAAGGAAAGTGAGCTTCTAGATACTCTTTTTGTCTCTAAAATCTCACACACCATTCAGTGCATACGGAGTACCAGCTATGCGTTTGCTCCCATGAAGGACCGTTAAGCCTATGCTTTAGTTCTTTCCTAAACCAGGATGAAAATCGTAGTAAACATACTTATGGGCTAGGCCTGTACTATGGGGAGGGCTACGGAGATGGTTAGGGACTGGAGCATCTCGCCTGCGAGGAGAGGCTGAGGGAGCTGGGCTTGTTCAGCCTGGAGAAGAGAAGGCTGAGAGGGGACCTTCGAAATGCCTCTAAATATCTGCAGGGTGGGGGTCAGGAGGACGGGGCCAGACTCTTTTCAGTGGTGCCCAGCTACAGGACAAGGGGCAACGGGCACAAACTGAAGCAGAGGAAGCTCCAGCTGAAGATGAGGAAGAACTTCTTCCCTCTGAGGGTGACGGAGCCCTGACCCAGGCTGCCCAGGGAGGTTGTGGAGTCTCCTTCTCTGGAGATATTCCAGCCCCGCCTGGCCGTGGTGCTGTGCAGCCTGCTCTGGGTGACCCTGCTTGGGCAGGGGGTTGGGCTGGGTGACCCACAGAGGGCCCTGCCAACCCCTACCGTTCCATGACTCTGTGATTATTCAGCCAAAACTTTTATTCAGTTGCATTGACTCTTCTTCAGTGTCTTATTAAATGTACATTTAGAAACATGGATGCACAGGGGGTTGTGGGTAACTAAAGAAATTTGGTATTTTGCCTGAAGCAGTTGTGATAGTAAAGAAGGCTTTAAAAAGCACCTTTCCCCCCACGCCACCACCCCAAAATATTATTCTGTTTTGTTGTTTTTTTGTGTTTTTTTTGTAGTTGACACAAGGGCTCTTTGCTCAGTTGCTAACAGCCATGAAAATAACTGTGGTTTTGTCACAGTGGTGTCGTGAGATGTGACAACACTGAGTTGTTTGGTCACAGTTTCTGAAGACTGGTTTAACGGTCTGATACCATGTCCTCAATTTCCCCCTCCGCCTCCCTCTCCTGCCACTGTTCTTTACAGGGGATCCCACATTTCTGCAGCATTTCTCATGTAGTCACGTTGATCAGGTGTCACCCAGAGTTTTGGCTGAAGGGAATGGTTGGGCCATGGCCTTGAATAGGTCGGACTCTGTCTCAGCACCCATGTGTTGGGAGTCTCTGGCTTTTCTAAAACAGTGGAACTTGACTGACCTTTTCTTTAGTGCCTTCCTTAACCAAGAGCTATTTATCTGGATTTATACATGCTGGAATGTAATAAAACGCTTCGCTCACCGCTTGAATCCCATTGACCTGCAGCAGCGTGTGGTCTATAAACACAGATGCAAGTTTTTTTTCTTTATTTCCAATTTGTCTAGCACCATGTACGTATTTGGAGGCTTCAACAGCCTCCTCCTGAGTGACATACTGAAGTACACACCCGAGAGATGCGAAGCTTTCGACAACGAAACAGCCTGCTTGCGAGCGGGTCCCGGCGTCAGATGCGTGTGGGCTCCCTCCCCTCCTCGCTGCGTCCCCTGGGAAATGGCGACCGTAGAGCAGCAGCAAAAGGTCTTTGAAGACTGTCCTCCCAAGCCAGGTACGTGTCATGTTCTTTCCGTTTCCCTTTCCGAAAGGCGTGTAGGGTCTCTTCCAAATTCTGTCTTGCGTTAGTTGTGTGCCGTTATCAAATCAAGATTGGAGGCTGTAGTTTTGCTTCCAGATGTGCCCTGGTAGACCTTCCTCTGACCAAGTGGCTGCAGTGGCTTGGAGATGTTTCCACCTCTCCTTCCCCCTCAAGCTGCTTGCTCATGAGTTTTTTTTTTTTTTTTCACCTCTACCGTACTGCTTGTACTTACTTTCCCATCCCAGACAGACATCTCATCAGTCAGGAGTCAGGCTTGGATCATTGCTCTGTAGATGTTTGCTCCAAGAACTGACCTTGTGAGAGCCAGCAATTTGCTAATGAGCACCACGGGGCAAAGGCGGGGGATATGAGTCCTGCAGCGTTGTCCTATTCAAGAGAGACAGCAGGAAGAGTGACTTACAACACTATTTCTCCTTCTATAGCATGATAAGGATAGGGGCATACAAAAAGAACATTTGTTTTAAGGTCTGATTCCTGCGTTCTCCCTTACAACAATTTTTAAACAACTTTTCAACGTTTTATGCCGATGCATTCGTTGGTCTGAATTGAATTATGCGAACCTTGATTCTGTAATAGATGGCAGCCTTTAATTATTTAAAAGAAATTGATGTAAAGGGACATTGCTTTGATGGCCTCTCAATATACAATAAATTTTCGCAAAACACAGGCGATAAGCACTTGGAAAGATGAAGTGGGGAGCCGAGGCTTTGCATGAAAATGCTCCCCGTAACCGAAGGCTGGGCTCGCAGCAGAGCGGGCCCGCGGTGGCAGACGTTCGCCGTCCTTGCGAAATGTCCTCTGGCGTCATTTGCACGGGCATCGGCTGAACGTGGATGCCCGGTCGTGGTTCACGCGCTGCCGTGTCTTTGTGCATTCTCTGGTGGTGTGTTTTACGGCTCCTTGGGCACTAAAAATGATTGATGCCGCGGAAGAGTGCCATTTTCGATCAGTTCAATCACATGAAAGTATCTGATTTACTAAGTAGTCAATAACAGAAAATCTCCCGGCGCTGCTGTTTGGTTGTATCTTTTGCTGTGTATAATCAAGTTCTTAGAGCTCTGTCAGGAAATGCCTGTTTTTGGTCATGCAGGTTTTTTTCTTTAATAGTTGTAGACAATGAAAAATGTGATCAGATTACAGACTGCTACAGCTGTACAGCAAACACAAACAACTGCCAATGGTGCACTGACCAGTGTATCTCAATGCAGAACAACTGCACGGAGGAACAGGTAAAGTCTCTCCAATACTTCTGTACTTTCTGTTTAGCCTTTGAAATAGCAAATGCCCAGATGCCTTCATCTGTCGGTGTTACGACCCCTGTTGTTTTGTGGTTTCCAGTGCTTGTGTAGCTCCGAGCTGATAACGTGCTTGAATTATCATTAATTTTTTAAAGTTGTTTTTCATGGGACTGTCCGCTTAAGTCAGGAGGGTGGCTAAGGACAGGGGAAGAGGTGGTGTGGTTATTCAGTGAGGCGTGTAGCCGTTGGGGTTTGCTATCAATAGAGCCTTCCCTGGGAAAAAAACCCAACCCTTTTGTAAAAGTCCTAGTAAGTGAAAGGTGTCCGGTGGTGGCCTGGGGGAGAAGCTGGAGTACGCAGTGCAGTGTCCAGCAGCACGGCTTCTGAATGTCCAGGGTGCTTTGTAGGTCTGAACTGTGAGGTTTAGTGCGGTGGTTGTTATGGCTGTTGTAAACCAACGTGGGCTGGGTGGGAAAAAGCCTCACCTGTGCTCTTTGTTTTAGGTTCCCGTGACTCTATATGACAATTGTCCTAAGGATAACCCTGCCTATTACTGCAACAAAAAGACAAGTTGTAAAAGCTGCGCCATGGATCAAAACTGTCAGTGGGAACCCAGGAATCAGGAGTGTATTGCTTTACCAGGTGGATATTCCTTCTATTTGTGTAAGAGAAAAACCCCAAATTCACCCTGTCCAAAAGTTGCTTTTTTTTCTGCTTACCCCATTGTCTGTCATCTTTTAGTTCTAAGCTGGAGTAAATAATGTTGTTTAATCATACCAGCTTTGGTATGAAACTTTCGTAAATTCAGAAAGTCCGGTGGAATATTTTTCAGTCCCAGTTGTCTGAAGAGGAGTATGATCATCTGTATAATCATTATTAGGCTGTATTTCATCTCTCTCTTTTCATTTGATAAAAGCAGTACTGTTCATATAATAGGCTTCTGCAAGGTATTAGATTTAATAATGCATGCTGTTTAATTTTAGAAACTAGAATCATGCAAAAGTGTAATGGCACAGACTGGACAAATTAGGCAAATAACACCTGAAGTGTACGGGGAAAATTCTCTTATTAGAGTGTTCCCGGTGGGAGCTCATAGCAGTTGATTATTAGTCCCCCTGTAGTAATGTGGGGTTTTTTCCCGGTGACTGGGAGAGAAATACAGCATCTTCAGTGACTGACATTTGCAGGTCATAAAGTAGAGAGAAAAGGAGAAAAACCGATACAGACAGAAGCGTTAAATGGGCCTGGGAAGCCTTCCCCGAGTCGCTCTGGTAGGTCTGGATGTGTCCAGGGCTGGCATTTGCTGGTCTGGACGAGTGAAAAAAAGAAGAGACTTTGGAGAAGAGCTGTGAGAGTGAGAAAAACATTTTGTAATGAGGTAGATGAAGAGCTTGGTCTGTTTAATTTGTTGTCGAAAAGGGGCTGACTTGATCGTGTGTGTAAAAAGCCCACTGGAAGAACTGACACTTGAGAGCTTTCAGTCTGTTAGATAAATCTACGCCAGGACTTTGGAGCTAGACGCTGAAAATGTCCATCAGGGTGTTTTTTAAGGGTATTTAAGAGCAGAAGAAATAATTACCACAGAGTATAAGGATTTCTTCAGTGGTGGACATGGCTGTGCTCAAGATGAGACAGGGGTTAATCCTGGAAATTCCATGCTGCGAACAGTATTAGGACAACAACCCTCTTATGTTGAATCCTAACAACTTATGTATCCTAACAGCTGTGGTTGAGTAAGTGGCTTTAAGTCATGGGCAGGATATGCGTTTGCTTTCTTTTTCTTCTACAATGAGTTTGCTATTTGACACTGTAATAAGTGCTTTGACTACCTACTGCAGGTAACTACATGATAGCATCACACTGCAGCTCCCCCAGGCAGCTTTCCTTTTCCTCCGGTATTATTATACATAGAAAATTCTGAGCCTGCCGAGAAGTCCTGCTGGGTTGGGGTGGAGCTGTAGGTTTTATTGTGGTGGAAGGGCTCTTTCACTGCTTGGAACGTTGTGAGCATCACTTGCAACTCTGCGCTTACTTTCTTTTACCTCCCCAGAAAATATCTGTGGGACAAACTGGCATCTGGTTGGCAACTCCTGCTTGAGAATTACGAACGCGAAGGAGAACTACGATCACGCCAAACTGTCCTGCAGATCCAACGGGGCTTTGCTGGCTTCCCTCACGACCCAGAAAAAGGTAGAATTTGTTCTAAAGGAGCTGCAGAAGATGCAGTCTTCGGTGAGTGCTTCTCTTTTATGTCCCCCGAGTAATGAAGCTCTGATTGGGGAGAAGTCCTTGTCGTGGTGGTGTAGGCTCGGTACAGAAAAGACATGCCTCTTAACCGAAAAGCACTGATTTTTCTTTTGAAATTCAACATACCCTATGGGTGCTTTTGAAGTGAAATTGTAGAGAATGTAAATGGGAAAGATAAATATAAACATACACGGTGCCTCAAAGGTATCGCTTTCTGTAATGAAATCCCGTGCGTGTTCCTCTTGTGGGATACATGACTGCAGCAGGAGTCCTCTCGTGACTTGTATTCAATATTTTATCAATAAAGGTCCCTTTGGGGCGCCAGAGGTGTTTAATTTAAAACATTTAAAGTTATTTATTCCACTCAGAAAAAGCATCTGTTTAAAATGTCGCCTGCTTCCTCTGCAGAGCTGCTTGGCTAATTTGGAGTTATTTAGGTTTGATTTAGTGGCAGGGGGGGGTTTGTCGGAGCCAGCGAGAAGCAAACTGGAATCTGTCCCTCTTCGTGCATCAATAAAATAAATATGTATTTTTTCTTTCCAGTCCCTGGCAGAAGCGTGGATATTCAGGGCAGGCTGTGTAGGTGGTGCTAAAGCCCCAGCAAAGAGGGATGCTGTGCAGCGTTGCTGCTGGGGCTTGACGGCACGTCAGCGGAACTCCTCTGGGGTCCCGGAGGCCGCTGCGGGCAGGACTGGCCATCGGGGAGAGTTTTATGGAAGAAAAATGAGACGTGAGGCAGTGGGATTGCTGCTTTTCAGAGGGGAACGTGCTTCAGTACTGAAGAGAAATATTCCCCTGTTGAAACGAGAGCATTTGATTCCCTTTGTAATTTGAAAGTGGCATTTCAGCAATTACAGGGTTTTAGAGGGGATTCAATTTAGCCACGAAAAGGTAAGGTGCAATTCAGACAAGATTGTTTGTTAAATCTTTTGTAAAGAGAGAAAACCAAGCCTGGGATATTGTAAAAGTACGTGGTTTGAACAGCTCCAGGTGTTTCTGGATATCCCAGTGGTTAAGTGTAGTGTAAGTTCCTAAAGACACGTGGCAACCCTTCCCTAATAGCGTTTGAACCCTTGCACTGGTGAGAAAAATACTGTTAATTTATGGGGTTTTTTTCCTGTACAGTATCCTTTAAAAAGTGAGCCTTGGAAATCTAAAGAGTCTATTAGCCCTTTGTAGTTGATATTAGTATTGAGCGCTTGTAAAGTGGGAAAATTCTTTTGCTAGAAAGCCGACCTGTATTTGGTGCTTGAATTTTTACCCTTCAGTAGCACGCTGCGGCCGTGCTGGGGGAGGCTGTACTGTGCATGAAGCAAACTGTACGTAGATGTTTGGTAAAAATAAGACGACTTGCTGGTGTTGGTATATAGTGCTGCGTAACCCTGTTGCTGTTAGAAGGTGCAGCTCTGGGGTTGAAGAGGGCGTGAAATCAGTTGGAAGCAGGTGATGGTTACAGATAGAGGTAAGGGAAGACGTGTGGTGTGAAGCTTTCCTAGGACGGCCGTGCCACCAAAGCGCTGTGACGGAGGAAAGGTTTTAACAGTAAAATGACATGTTGTACCAACACAGTTAGAGTGTCTCTCCCCAGAATGGAAGCGTGCCAAAAAATAAATTGCCAGTGGATATAGTTGTGTTACGGGTTCTTCCTATGGAGAATTTTGTTGCCTGATTTAGATTTGACCTGCGCTGTCTCTCCACCCCTCCATATATACGAAGCGGAGGTCTTCTAGCCAGACTGTGGAGTAGGTAGATTGCGTCATTTCAATATTTTGGGGGACTGCTAGTTTTCTTCCTCATGTCAAACTATAACCCCAGAAATTCTTTTTCCTGTGTCTGGCCAGTTACAGAAATCACAAGCATATGAAGAGCAACTTGCAGTTAATTTCACAGTCAGCCAGTGTGAATGTTTGACTCGGTTTCCTCCTCATGTAGATAACTAGACATGTAGTTTGGGGAAAAAAAAAGAAAAAAAAGGTGTTTCCTGAAGGATGTCTTCCTCTCTGTGGCATTTAATTCTGATAGCATTGACAAACAAATATTTCCCTTACTACATTTTTGCAATGCCCAACGTGGCAAAGTTGTCATGAGCATTATATGGTGATGTAGGGGGATGAAAGGATCGAGAGCAGCCCTGCTGAGAGGGACTTGGGGGTACTGACAGACGAAAGGCTGGACATGAGCCGGCGATGTGCGCTGGCAGCCCAGAGGGCCAACCGTGTCCTGGGCTGCATCAGGAGAAGCGTGGCCAGCAGGGCGAGAGAGGTGATTCTGCCCCTCTACTCTGCTCTGGTGAGACCTGACCTGGAGTCCTGCGTCCAGCTCTGGAGCCCTCAGCACAAGAAGGACATGGACCTGTTGGAGCGGGTCCAAAGGAGGGCTACAAAAATGATCCGAGGGCTGGAGCCCCTCTGCTATGAGGACAGGCTGAGGGAGCTGGGCTTGTTCAGCCTGGAGAAGAGAAGGCTGCGGGGAGACCTGATGGCAGCCTTTCAGTACTTAAAGGGAGCCTACAGGAAAGATGGGGACAACCTTTTTAGTAGAGACAGCAGTGACAGGACAAGGGGTTATGGTTTTAAACTACAACAGGGTAGGTTTAGGCTGGATATAAGGAAGAAATTCTTTACAATGAGGGTGGTGAAACACTGGCACGGGTTGCCCAGAGAGGTGGTGGAGGCCCCATCCCTGGAAACATTCAAGACCAGGTTGGACAGGGCTCTGAGCACCCTGATCTCGTTAGCGGTGTCCCTGCTCGCTGTGGGGGGGTTGGACTAGATGACCTCTAGGGGTCCCTTCCGACCCAAAACTTTCTATGATTCTATGTGTATTTTCTTTTAATACCTAAGGTAATAAACCTGGGTATTAAATGTACCATTTTCCGTTATTTCTAGCCCAAAACTTTGACTCCGTGGGTTGGACTGAGGAAAATCAACGTGTCCTATTGGTGCTGGGAAGACATGTCTCCCTTCACCAACACCCTGCTCCAGTGGCTTCCCGACGAGCCAAGCGATGCTGGATTCTGTGGTTATTTAGCCGAGCCTTTCCTGCAAGGACTGAAGGCGGCAACGTGTATCAACGAAGTCAACGGCAGCGTCTGCGAGAGGCCGGGTAACTGCCTGACTTGGGTGTCTCGTGGGGAGCGGGTGGCTAAGAAGTGTTTGTGTTTCCTAGAGAGTAAAGAGGATCCCAGTCATTACATTTGAAACGAGCTGCGTCGTGACTTTGCCAAAGAAAAAATGGTTCTGAAAAAGTGTCTTGTGTAGGTATTTCATGCAGGAATGGGAGATTTAAAAAAAATCTCTACATGTCAGGTTGCCCAGAGAAGCTGTGGCTGCCCCCTCCCTGACAGGGTTCAAGGCCAAGTTGGATGGAGCTCTGAGCAACCTGGTCTGGTGGAAGATGTCCCTGCTCATGGCAGGGGGGCTGGAACCAGATGATCTTCAAGGTCCCTCCCAAACCAAACCATTCTGTGACTCTGTGTATGCTGTTAACTGTAGAATGCTTGAAGTACACTACAGCTTAATTATTTTTCTCTAAATTGCATACCTGAATGTGACATTTAGGTTAATTAAGGTGTGGAGCAGTCTCCTGCTTAAAAAAAAATAAAAATAATAAAAGCTGCTTTGCTATTGAACTCCCCTTTCTCCCCTCAATTGCTGCGTAGCCAGAGGAGGATTTTATCAAAGTTTGAAATTAATTGGGCAAGACACTTTGGAGATATAAGAACTTTGAAAAAGAAGCTATTTGCTTTTGGGAAAACTCTCCTAGCTTTGTTGGAACTGCATATCTTTTCAAATGGCTTGGCCTGTTAACTCTTCATTATAGCTGATTATTTCTGAATACCAATTAGTGCCTCTTTGTTTTAAGAGAGTTGGCTGATGACATAAAAATTTCAGAGTAAGCTACACCACTTTCAATCAGCCTTTGTGGACGTGCAGGGTACAGATCGTGAATGTAGAACCCGAACTCAAAATTTTGTATACTCTGACTTGCCGCACTTTGAATTGGTTTAAGCTTTAACTTGTTTTTTATGAGCTGAGAACAGACACTTGAAACAGATGATAAAGCCTTGGCTCACACCAGAACCTCCTGAGTGAGTTCTGCTTTCAGTACTCAACGTTATGTGTGGAACTGATCAAATAACTTAAAACACATTCCAGCGTGCTCACGTAAAACGTGGGCTTTCTTCCCAACACTTCGGTTAAGGAACACGTCAACAGACCTGCAGAGAGATAAAGACCATGTTCATAACACTATTTAAATTGCTTTTAAGGTGAATACCTTAAAAAGCATTGACAGTTGTGAAGGATGCATAAGAAGAGAATTCATTTGTGAGGCCACACCTCAAGTGCTGTGTTCAGCTTTGGGCCCCTCACTCCAAGAAGGACATTGAGGGACTGGAGCGTGTCCAGAGAAGGGCAGCGAGGCTGGGGAGGGGTCTGGAGAACAAGTCTGATGAGGAGCGGCTGAGGGAGCTGGGGCTGTTCAGTCTGGAGAAGAGGAGGCTGAGGGGAGACCTTCTCACTCTCTACAAGTACCTGAAAGGAGGGTGTAGCGAGGTTGGGGTTGGTCTCTTCTCCCAAGTAACCAGCGACAGGACGAGAGGCGATGGCCTCAAGTTGTATCAGGGGAGGTTCAGATTAGATATTAGGAATAATTTCTTTCCTGAAAGAATGGTCAGGCATTGGACCGGGCTGCCCAGGGCAGTGGTGCAGTCCCCATCCCTGGAGGGGTTCAAAATCACGTAGACCTGGCACTTCGGGACATGGTTTAGTAGACATGGTTGTGATGGGTTGACGGTTGGACTTGCTGATCTTAGAGGTCTTTTCCAACCTGAATGATCCTATGATTCTATAATTCTATGATTTTACAGTACTTGCTGCATTTCTCATATTCACCATGGTATACGATACCTCCAGCTCCATCCAGCAACACCACACCACAAACGAAGTCTTTGAGGTCTGTGAGACTGAACCCTTTTTCAGCCTGAACGATAGACAGGGCTTTTTATCTTCTGTCTTTCTATCTCGGGGCTCGTTACCTCTTTCTTTCCGGAAGAAAGCTGACTGTGGTCCTCCCTCCCACAGCGAACCACAGCGCCAAGCAGTGCCGCACGCCCTGCGCCCTGCGCACCGTCTGCGGGGAGTGCACCAGCGGCAGCTCCGAGTGCATGTGGTGCAGCAACATGAAGCAGTGCGTGGACTCGAACGCTTACGTGGCCTCCTTCCCCTACGGGCAGTGCATGGAGTGGTACACCATGAGCAGTTGTCCCCGTGAGTAATCGCTTCTGCGTCTTCGGCGGGTGGGCTGGAGCCTTGTCGTTGTGGACGTTGGGTAGCAGAAGTCACAGAATCACAGAATGGTCGGGGTTGGAAGGGACCTCTGTGGGTCAGCTAGTCCAGCCCCCCAAGTCATCAGACTCTGCACGTTGGTCGTACTGCGCGGGGGATTTTCAAAAATAAGAAGCACCCGACGCCGGGAGCTTGGTGTGTGGGGCTCCGTCCTGCATCGTGTGGAGCGTTAAGCAGAGTTCGGTCCTGGCTGTGGGAATTACTGGTGAAACTAAATGGATAGCAAAGGCTTTCAAGTGAGATGATGAACTCTCTGCTTTTTTTTCAGATGCAGCAGTACTTGTTTCATTCTTCCTACCCTTCAAATTAATTGTTACATATCTTCATGAGATTAACTTCTTGTTGTATCTCTTCTGTATCTCTTTCAATCATATGGAGCCATGTATTTTAATATTAGATTATCTGTATCAAATCCCAATTAGTATTTACAGGACTGTTTTATTCTGAATTATTGTCTGTATATAGCCCACAGTAGGAATTTCTAACTTATTTAAAATAAATGATTAATTTTTTTCCCCTTTCAGATAGATGTGAGCAAACTGCAGAAGATTTACGGTGCTTTGGAATATTGCGTTTTGTTTTCAAACTGGGGTGAAATAGTCTAGAAGTTTAAAAAGTGGCCAAAACGGTTTTATAAATAATTTTTATGTACGTTGAATTCTTTAAGAGCAGAGCCTGAGCAGGGGAGTCAGGAAAGCCAGGGCTCTCGGAGTGGCAGAGGGAGAGGAGTGCCTGTGTTCCCCAGGAGGGAGGGTGGGCACTCTGAGCTGCTGCAGTTGCTCCAGGAGCTTGTGGAAGGTGATGAGGATAAGCAGGGTAGCTCAGTGTTGTGAAATAAGAGATGGATAAAATAGATTTCAGGTAACTGTCAAACGTGAGAATGTGAACTTGCCGCATTGCCAGAAGTCAAAAGTTGGAGGAAGCACCAGGCAGGAAATGAGTAAGAGGAAATAATGGAAAAAAAATGTTTTTCTACTAATTTTTTTTTTTTCTTTTTTTTTCTTTTTTTTTTTTTAAGGCAAATATTATCAATTAAAACATCAAGGGAGAAAGTCTGCTCATTTTGGCACACCAAGAATTTAGTACATATTTTTTAAGATGATACTGGGAAAGAAGTAGAAAAATTCCTGGATATTAAGAGTTTGTGACCCATGAAATACAATCCCATTTGAGAAAGAAACAGTTAAAGGGCAGCGATGTTTTTTCCCTGATTTAGTGGATTACTGGGCCCAGGGGATCTGTGTGTGGCACTCTGAGCATCCAAAGAAGACAAATTCTGTTCTGTTTTAGCTCGGATAAATACTTGAAATAGTGGCGTGTGATACTAAAACATGTGGTAAGAAGAGACTCAAAGCAAGTAAACAAACTGGGTTTTAGCCTTTGCTTCCGAATGGCTCATTTTATAATCTGATCCGTTGTAAATCAACTGGAGATCTTTTGTAAATCAAGGTGGAAATCAATTGGAGATGAGTTGGAGTTGGGAACGTTAACCCCTGGTTTTAGTGGGGGGTGTTTAATGTTTAGCGAAACTTTACTTGTGCGTTGCGTTGTTTCGTAACTCACTCACCGATTAATTCAACCTTTGTGTTAATACTTAGATTCTAGAATCAAGATGCCAATAGGAAGGAATGTACCCTCAGCAAGTTTGCTGATGACACCAAACTGGGAGGTGTGGTAGATACACCAGAAGGCTGTGCTGCCATTCAGCGTGACCTGGATAGGCTGGAAAGCTGGGAGAGAGAAACCTGATGAGGTTCAACAAAGCCAAATGCAGGGTCCTGCACCTGGGGAGGAACAACCTCATGCACCAGTACAGGCTTGGGGTGGACATGCTGGAGAGCAGCTCTGTGGAGAGGGACCTGGGTGTCCTGGTGGACGACAGGGTGACCATGAGCCAGCAGCGTGCCCTGGCTGCCAAGAAGGCCAATGGCATCCTGGGGTGCATCAAGAAGAGTGTGGGCAGCAGGACGAGGGAGGTTCTCCTTCCCCTCTACACTGCCCTAGTGAGGCCTCATCTAGAGTACTGTGTCCAGTTCTGGGCTCCCCAGTTCAAGAAAGATGAAGAGCTACTGGAGAGAGTCCAGAGGAGGGCTACGAGGATGGTGAGGGGACTGGAGCATCGCCACTACGAGGAGAGGTTGAGGGAACTGGGCTTGTTCAGCCTGAAGAAGAGAAGGCTGCGAGGGGACCTTATAAATGCCTACAAATATCTGAAGGGTGGGTGTCAGGAGGATGGGGCCAAGCTCTTTTCAGTGGTGCTTGGGCAGGGGGTTGGGCTGGGTGACCCACAGAGGTCACTTCCAACCCCTACTATTCTGTGATTCTGTGAATTTATGTGTACATATGACTGTGAATATCACAATAAATATTTACAGATTTGGTGGGCTAAATCCCCAAGGTCACAAAAGACATACAAGGGTCTCTGTGTTTGTCGTCACCTGTATTTTGGGGCAGTGATTTATTTCACGATTTGATGTTTGGTTTTTTTTTCTAGCTGAAAACTGTTCAGGCTACTGCACGTGTGCTCACTGTTTGGAGCAGCCCGGCTGCGGCTGGTGCACCGATCCGAGCAACACGGGCAAGGGGAAGTGCATCGAGGGTTCCTACAGAGGTCCGGTCAAGATGCCAACCCCCGCCGCACCGGGGAAACACGGCTTGGAGCCCACCCTGAATGTCAGCATGTGCCCTGTGGAGAACAGCTATAACTGGTCCTTTATTCAGTGTCCAGGTAAACGAGCCACCTCTGTTCAAACATTTCAGGGTCGCAGCAGTTAAATGCAAAGGGAGAGGCCGTTTAGGACTGTAGGGATGTCTGGGTTCCCTCCTGTTAACGGGGGAAGGAAAAGAGCTTGGAAGACAAGCAAGAAACGACACATTTGAAGGTGGAAGGAGTTGTGCGGGTTTCTGGAGGCGAGCTGCAGAGATTTACTGCATGAACACTGAACTATGCGTCACTCTAGTGAAGTTTTTCCTTTCC